TGAGACTCCAACTTTCTTCCATCAAACCTGATATCAACCAATTGATGAAAAATAAAAAGCAGTTTCATACCTCCCACTAGTTAGATTTTTTCTTTTTTAAAGTTTTCTATTATCGTCCTTGCCAAGTGGTGAAGTAAATAATAATTAGTCACTGTTACATTTTACTTTTATTATGCTGATTAATAAAGAATACACTTATAAAAACAATTGTTTTATTGTAGGGTTCCATCAAGTATTTTGCTTCCCAAAAGGGTTCCGCCATTAAAAAAGTTTGAGAACCACTGATCTAAGAAATGCCGATATTGTCTCGTACTAGTGTTACGTGTCGCATCATGTCATACTATACGTTGCTGAAAACGTGTTTATTCGCGCTAAAAGTTTGTCCTTGACAGTTTTTCGATTGTTTGACTCAGTACGTTGTGAGCGCTCGTCAAAGATGGACACCATCAAAGAGAAAATTCGCTATATTTTACAATTTTTCTTCGATCAAAGCGAAAAAGCAGACAAAGCGGCTGGAAAAATTAATTTAGTTTATGGGCCCGATACTGTAAACGAAAGTGTAGAACAAAAGTGATTTGCTAGCTTCCGTTGCGGTCATTTCGATGTCAAAGATGCACCACGCGTCGGGAGGCCTGTCGTCGAAAATTGCGATAAAATCATGGAAATAGTGGAAACAGACCGTCACGTGAGCACTTATTTAATTGCTGAGGAAATAAAGATAAGCCAGAAAACCGTTTGAACCATTTGCATAACCTTGGATTCAAAAAGCAGCTCGATGTTTGGTCTCACACGAACTAACGCAAAAAACATGATGGACCGAATTTCCATCTGCAAATCGCTGCAGAATCGGAACCAAATCGACCCGTTTCTGAAGGGGATTGTGACTGGCAATGAAAAATGGGTCACTTATGACATCGAGCGCAAACGGTCGTGGTCAAAGCTCGGGGAAGCGGCCCAGATGGTGGCCAAGACCAGGCCAGGAAGGTTTTGCTGTGTGTTTGGTTAGATGGGCAAGGAATCATCTACTACGAGCTGCTCCCCTATGGCCAAACGCTCAATTCGGCCCTCTACTGCCAACAACTGGACCGCTTGAAGGCAGCACTCACCCAGAAGAGGCCATCTTTGATCAACAGAGGCCGAATTGTGTTCCATCAGGACAACGCCAGGCCACACACGTCTTTGGTGACACTCCAGAGGCTCCTGGAGCTCGGACCGTTTACGAACAAAACGGCGCATATATGACTTAAATCGGACAAATGTACACAAAGTTATCATCTTTTGAAAAATCAATAAAAAACCGAACGAACTTTTTACTTTACCTAATACATATATATTTCTTTATTCAAAATTACATAAAAAATATGTATAACTATGTAAGAAATTCGGACTGGGAGTAATTGAATTGTATTAGAGATCAGATGGTTGAAGTATCTGCAGAAGCAAGAAACATTTTGTATTGTAAATATATTATGTAAATTTTAAATACATTAAATGTTTATCATTAACAAGTCGTACACCACAAGTTGGTCCAGAAACAAGGAAAACACAAATATCTGATTTCAATTGGGGGGATAATTTTCCCGAATATGTATATATTTGATTTAAGGCTCTATTACGGGTTTCAACTCAACTGTATTTTGGTTAATCTTTTGAAATTCAGTGTAATCGATTTGACTCAATCGGTCAAAAAAGGTTTGGTTGAAATGTCCAACTTCAAATTTTTTTTGTGCGGCAGAAAACATTCCTGAAGTAATTTCGAGGAATGTTGCCGAGTTGATAGTCCTTGGCCAATTAAAGATACAGGTCCGTTCCGGTTACTTAGACCCGACTGTAATGCGAACGGAAGGACTGTCGATGGGAAGACCGGAACTTTGTTGTGTCAATGGTGTTAACTAGAATACAAAAAATTACAACTGTTACCAAGCAGTTGTAGTTGAACATCACTGCGTTTATGTAGGAAAAAAATTAATCAAAAATTGAAAACGGGTCTAAAAATAAAAGATAAAGCTAAATATTTCGAACAAAAAGAGTCGATTCAATCTACTATTCCTTGAAATATATTGTACTTTTTGAGTAAAATTAAAATTTTAAAGCGTTTTCTCCTCTGCAGTTGTTTGCCCACAAATAATTTGTTCACAATATTTAAAACTTTAAATTTATTCAAACTGCCTTTTTGGAAACTACCTTTAGCAAGGAATTTAGTAAAAAATGGTTCCTTAAATGAAAATAATTTACGAATTTGCCACAAACATTTAAAAACTATTTAATTGTCAATAAAATTTTGGCTTCGTTCTGGATATTGTAGCAGGTTAAACTCCTACTTATCCAGAATAGACCCCGACATACCAAACACATGTCCTGCGTGCAATGAGTCTCCGCATGACAATAACCACCTCTTTGCATGCCCAACGAACCCCACTCATCTAACACCCTTTTCCCTATGGTCCGACCTCGTCGAAACAGCTCGTTTCCTGGGCCTCCCGTTAGATGACCTCGACGACAACCAATCTGGAATTTATCATCCAAACGGGGATTAGGTAACCGTTACAACAACAACAACATATCTCAGTTTTATCCCCAACATTTTTGTCTTCGTAATATAAATCAAAACTAATGTCCATTTTATTAATTATACACCCCTTCGTGAGTAAAAACTGAATCGAATTTTGATTTTACATGTCAAATCTACATTTTCTAGGTTGGCAGCACGAATCGATCTTCAACTAAAAAAGGAACCGTTTAGGTTGGTCAAAATGTATGATATTTAAATAAAATTAAGTGGACAAGTTTTCTTAAAACTTATATGGTTTAGCGCTGAGTTAGAATGGAATTGGTCTATACCTTGGTCTAAATCTCATATCTTTAATCTAATAAATTTCGACTTACTGATTTCCACATAAACTCAATATATTAAATTTAGCCTCTTCGATCTAATAACTCAATCTACCACTGCATCTGATTTGAAGGTTGTTTTTAGTATAATTTTAGCTGACACAAACTAAAATATAGCAATAAACAGTCTAAAATAATGACCCTCAATATAAGTCAAGAAGATACCAAATTTGATTTTAATTTATTCACGATTTCATCGAATAATGGATGTTTAATTCTTCCGCGACATTTTTTAATATAAAGTTTTGCCAGCACCTGAAATTTCCCTGGCTTGATTCGTGCAAGTTGCAAGAGTATAAAATGTTCGGTTACACCCGAACTTAGCCCGCTCTTGTTAATTCTTATTCAAATACTGGAAAACCGTGGCGTCAAAGATTCTGAATTGCGGCTGCATGTATGAATAATTCAGGTTATGTGAAATGTAAATATTTCCGCAACATTATTTTCAAATTGTACTTACGTTACTCAACCGCGCTATCAGAGATTTCTGTTAAAGTTTCTTAACGCCCAATTCTAAACTCTTGAACACTCTTGCGTACGTGTGATATTCATCTCCTTCTTACGCATTGGGCTTTTAAGTTGCACTATGTGTATGTGTTAGCGCCAATTTTGTTTTATCCAAAATTAGACGTCACATTTGATATTACCAGATTATATTGTTATGTAGCTTTTTTATTACGTTAAATTTTTAAATTTTATGAAAAGTGTTGGTAAGTCTAGTTAAGGCATAAGCCATCGAAACTATCGATAGTCCCATCGATTGTTTTACAGCTCTATCAATTTGCAACCGACATTGATATAATACAGAGAGAGTCAAAAATCCTCAGAGCGATTTCGGTTTCACTATGGTACATTCGAATTGAAAATATTCACAAAGATTTTATTGTTGTTCTTGTTCCCGCTTAGTTGGAAATGTTTTGGTTGGTTGTCATCAAAGTCTTCCAACGGTAGGCACAGAAACGACGGGTTCGGACCATAAGGAGAAGGGTGTTAGATATATAGATTGAAATAGAGGTATGCCCTGCGACCTATGGTCTATTGTGCCCCAGCAAATTGATGAACTCCAATATACTGCTAGGTGCTAGTGAAGCAATGCGATCCCTGTTTGGAAACATGGATTCAAATTTTGATGCGTGGCTTCTGCACCAATCCCCTCCGCCGTTTTCGAGCCTGGGGTGTAGCACTTGATAGTGATTTCCCTTAGCAGTAGGTCCAGCTTGGAATCATTCCATTTCGCCTTACTGCCAAGGGTAACTTTGAACTTAGTGAAGCTTACTACTTTGATAATGCTGTCCCTTGGAAGATCGGCTAATGGCATTTCATCACTTAGCGCATTCATCTGCTGGGACGAGATTACCTTTCCTCTGCCAAATCCTTCTGCTGTCATTTGGAGCACAGTCTGTTTGGTTGTCTGTTCGATTACCATATGTAACGGTGTGAGTTTTAGCATTACTTCTAGTGCTGCAGTCGGACACGTACGCATTGCGCCCGACACGCAGATGCAGGTAAGTCTTTGCAGCTTCGATAGTTTAAATCCTACCGAACGCTGCGATTCTTTAGAAACGCAATACAACGCTCCATACGTGATAATCGGTCTCACGATCATGATGTACATCCACCTGATAATATTTGGGTTGTACCCCCATGATTTCCCGGCAAGTCGATTGCACACCATGAGTGCTTTCGTAGCCTTGACTAGGGTTATGTCCACATGCTGCTTCCAGCGTGAGGAATAGGTACTTGACCGAGTTGGTCATCTCTAACACTCTACCGCCAAGAGATAGATTTCTGAGGCCTGGCAGTGACCTCCGTGTAGTGAACGGAATGATTGTAGTTTAAGAGGAGTTAATGTTTAAGCCAACCCCACTACACCATTCAAGCCAGCCCCAGTCCCCTTTGTACGCTAATTTACCCCTAGCTAAGATAACAATGTCATCCGCATATCCCTGACAGTGGATTCCATTGCTAGTTAGCAGCTCAAGGAGACCGTCTACAACTGGGCTCCAAAGACTGTGGGCAAACTCTTGTCGTGCCAAGACGAATTTTGGTATCACCTCTACTTTGGGTATGAAGATCACTTTTGCGTTGGGCCATGGTTCAGGGATATACACCAGCGCTAGTTATACCAGCAAGACCTGTTTCCCCTGCTGCAGAAATGCCCCCTTCTACTAACATTCGTGTCCCTAAAAGTGGGCCAGACCCTGTTTCCAGGGATGCGCCTGAGAGGGAGTTGCTTGACCTCTATCGCCAGTGCGAATCTGGTGATTTGACATGGAGGGTTCTGATGACACTCTCCATTGCGAGATCAGCCCTGTCATAGGTTCGTTATTAAGAGTGATGTCCAGCACCTCCCTTCTGACGCGTTGGCGTGGCATCCTAGGACGAAAGGCAGCTTATTTCTCCTGCAGTACTCCACCAGGGGTGCTGTCGGTGTCTCTTCCGGAAAGAAGACCGCTACCAGGACGAAGTCCACTCCTTCGTTGTTTGCCTGTACAGCGTCCAGGTCCTGTGCTAGGAACTCTGAAATACAAAGTAATCGATATCGTTCCTAACTACTACGCAGGTTCTAGATCTCCCACAAGAGAGATCCCAGATTACCTTGTTTCATATAGATCCATGGCTCCTGGATCAACAGTAAGCCCAGGCCATCCGATGCGAACCTGCTCGCGATGACTGCTGAGGCCGACGCCGCGTGGTGTAGGTTCATTTGGACAACTTCCATGAGTGGTCCAAATACAGGATCGGTTCCATGAGGAACTGGTTCTCATCCACACCGTCCTCCGGTCGTTTTAGGCTTGTATGTCCTCATGACTACAGAGCTGAACCTATAGTTCAGACGGAAGGTCCCCCTCCGGACGAATTTATATGATTCGTCGTCTATGCAGAGGTTGAGCTTCCACCCTGTATCCTCGACCTTGCTACTCTCAACTCGCCGAGACCAAACTCGTACGGCTTGCCTGCGCACCTGGGGAGGAATACCGTCATGCTGTGCATGGTCGAAATTTCGTCTCCCTTCTTTGCGCAGAGGATTGGGCCATTCCAGTCTGTCAGTTTGGGAGCGATCTCCCTCAGCCAGCTAGCAGACTTCTCATCCTTACAGTCAACCTGCAGCATGCCTCCTTTAAAATATACTCCATGGAAGGATGCTGCGTATCCAGACCCTCTGAATACCTCCTCCATGAGTAGGTCTTGAAGCACGGTAAGCTCCTCCGACAACAATGTCTCCGCCAGGTAGTTTAGAGGCAGCACAGCCATCCGAATTTCTTTGAGAGCATCCGCATATCTTCGCTGTCCCTCTACCCCCCCGAGGAGGGTTCGTGGCGGAGTGGTCGCCTATGCGTTGTTGCACCTCTGCCGTTCGGAGTTAGGCGGCTCCTGCGGGTACCTCTCACCCTGTGTCGCGCTAGTTTTTCGGCATCCTCCGGAGTTCTTCCTTCCTGGAGGTGCCTAGGGTACCATTTCAGGCTGGCATCGCTCATGCCCTTTCTTCTGGGATCATCTTGTCCTCTGGGACACAAAGTTGGTGGTTAAGGGGTAGTCTGCCTCCCCTCCTCCTTCTCCTTTTGTGAACTTCTCCGGTAGATGCGCGTTGCGACTCCTCTGAATCCGAGCAGCTGATCCTGCTCAAGAGAGTCTCTGTGGGTGTGCTGAGCGCCGCTGCAGCAGGGCATGTCGTCATCATCGTCCCTTGCATTCAGGAAGCTCCTGAATGTCCCTTACCTGCACCGGTGCTTGTGTTGTTGGCTTTGTTCGTGTTCGTTCACTGTTGTTGTGGTTTGTTTGTTCATCTTGTTCTTTCGACCTTGGGCTCGACATGGCGAGCCGTCGGGTTAGCGTATATTAAGGGGAACACAAGGGGCACGGTCGTCGCATAACACCCTGGATTAGGAGGTGGTAACTATTGGTTGTCGCAGGAATGCGGCTTCTGTCAACCCGTGTGAGAGGTGCTAGGTAGCAAGGAGCCTGCCAAACGCAGGAGAAGAGGGGTGTTAGATGAGTGGGGTTTGCTGGTCATGCTTGCTCATTGTATGCTGGATATATATTTGGTTGTTGGGGTCGATTCTGGACAACAAGGAGTTTAACCTGCTACAGTATCCAGAACGAAGTTTCGAAGGTCTTGTTTCACGCGGCTGGTTATTGTTTGGACTGCAAGTATGCCTTTCACTGGGAAGGAGTCAATGAAGGTGTAAATGTTAGAGGAATGTTCTCCTGATGTTCCTAGGAGAGGGCTCCTGACTGCTTGAAGAGAAGTATGGGGTGCATGTGGGCCTCACTATGGGGGAAATCCTGTTATAGTCCGGAGTGCGGTGATCTGCCAGGTCTATATCTCCTGCATCTGCGTCCTGCTGCATCCAGGCAACCAAATTAGGGTGGAGTATTTAATGACCGTTTCTCTGGTTGCCTTGTATGTTCCCTGCAACATTTCTTTGTCTTTGCCCAAGTGCTGCCGGCTGGCGACTTGAGGATCTTGTTACGGCTCTGTACTTTTGTGACAATCGCGGTTGTGTACGGACTGAAGGAGTGCAGACTGTCAAATACGATACCTAAAATTTATTGTTGGAAATATTGAAGTAAATTTGTAAATAGGGTGGCAGGAAAAAGTTTTAATCTCCTCTCACTGAAGAAGCGAGAATTTTAGGAGATAGGCGTTCACTTATAAACACATGCCATCAATTTCATTGCCCTATGAGCTATTTGCTCGTTTATGACGCTTAGTGCTGTGGTGGTGCTGTGCACTTAACGGAAGCCGTGCTGGTGTTCAGCTAGGCTCAGATGGTGTGTGAAGTTCGGGAGTAGCAAGGCCTCAAGTGTTTTCACTACTGGGGCAAGGAGAGCTATCGGGCAATCGTTTGTAGGCTTCCCAGATTTCAGGAATGGAGCCCCCCTTCCGATTTTGCACACATCGGGTATGTGAAGGGTGGTCAGTGTCAAGAAGAGGACCTTGGAGAGATAGCTTACTCCTGTCGAGCCTAGGTGTCTTAATATCATTATTCTATCTGGGCCAATGTATTTGGGTGCCTTTGCTTTGTTGGCTCTTTGAACTTCCTCGTCGGTGTCAGCAAGTGGTGCGCCGTTATTTGGCATTTTGCGTAACCGTCGGGTAACACATCTTTTCGCCTTGTCCACCGAAGGGTGCAGTATAAATTGTGGCTAAAGTAGCCCGCGCACTATTTCGGGTCCGAGAAGACACGACCGATAAATTTGATTTCGACACGGTTATCGTCGTGGCTTCTCAGGGATTTGATATTAGTCCAAAGCTTGCTCACTCCGGAGGACATATTACATAACTTCAGGTGCTTCATCAATTTTGTTCGCTTATGTTGATCTATCAGTTGTCGAATTTGCAAATTGAAATCCCTTATGCGGGAATAGTAGTTCAGGAATTCATCAGCGGGAATGAAGCGAGCAGTAGACCGTTCACACGACAGTCGGGTCTACGTAACCGGAACGGACCCGAATTTTATCAGATGGTCTGATACGAAAATTAACATAGGTCGCTAGGTTATTCTGTTTATCAGATCACCACTGATCAATTCCATGTAAAGAGGCCCTGCACAAAAAATAATTTACTTTCTTTTAATTGAATTTGATCATTTGACGTCTACAAGAGAGTCACTTTTATGAATATAATAAAAAAAACTTTGATAAGTTTAAGTTAAGTTTTTGACATTTGTATATACTGAATACTTAATTTTCTTTCTCTGTATATTCTGTTTTAATATAACGATTTCTTCTATTGCTTCTCTCATTATTTATAAACCCCGTTATCTTTAAGAAGACTACACTATTGCTTACTTTTTGACTTTTAATATTGTACTTTTACTTTTAACAATAAAGCTTTTATGGAATAAATAAAAAAATAAATTTTTAGTCACACCCGTCACAGTAAATAATAAAAAAAATTTAATAAAATCGTTACTTTTCGAAATAAACACTTGATACTTTTAAAAAATAACAAAGTAAGCACGGCAAATATGTAGTGATATTTTGTAAACCTGAATTTTAATAATCAAGCATTTAGTTATAAAAATTATTTGGTCATACACCAACGCGAATTTCAAAAAGCAGACAACGGAAAAGGACGCAAGTCAAATATTCAGCTTTTTGAATACATCAAATATTGGCAGCTATAAATCCCAGCGTATTTTTTGTTGTGGGAGCTGGTCAACTTAAGTTAAAAATTCGTTACAAATACAAGATATTTTCAAATATACTTACATACGTATATACATTCGATACATATGAAAAAAAAAATCGCCTTTTTGAAATTGGCAAGTTGATATAACCTTAAAGGAAGTCGTGTTCTTTACTATTTTTACGATTTCGTAAATTCGAAAAAATACCATCATCATTAAAATACATTTCATAGTAGAGAGGGCACTCAAAAATGTGATTAGAACATTTATCGGATTGGAATTGTGTTTGCTCACTTAACACACTTGCAAAATGTCCGTAAAGTGTTGAGCTGACAATTAAAGGTTTCTGTTGTTTGCAAAAAACAAAAATGTACTTAAAGGCTATGATTTTATCACTTTAAAGATTGGTGTTGTGTAATTTGTGTGTAAAAGTGTTGGAAAAATTAAAATTATCAAAGACATGTTTAATGTCAATGACACTACTCTAATGCCGAAATACATATATACTTACGTAGTTGTAAATATGCACTTTTCCAATAAAAATATGAAGTTGCTTCTGGTATGATGCCTACATATTTTTGAAAAAAATATTACCTATAGCTTGTTTACAATATGGATACATGTCCTTATTTAGTTTTAATCCGCTTTTATTTGCTATTTGCATTAACTTATATTTATTTATTACAAATAAATCTAATAATCGGTTGGTTTTCGTCCCAATTTTGATTTTACAGGCCAATCGATGGGTCGCAGTCATACACGAAGGGCGGCGGCGCTCTTGGCCAGCAATCTACTCACTCGGCCGCAGCAGCAGCAGCCGTCGCTGCCGCCGCCCAGCAACAATTACATCAGCAAATGCATCAAATGCATCAGCAACATCAGCAGCAGCATCAACAACAACAACATCAACAGCAACAGCATCAACAACAACAGCAACAGCATCAACAGCAACAGCAGCAAGCTGCTCAGCAGCATCACCAGCAGCAAGCCGCTCAACAACAACAGCAGCAGCATCATCTCCAACATCATCCGCAGCAACAGCAACAACAGACCGCCCGTTCAGCAGCTAGTCCTCTATCACCACCACGACCCGGTCCAGGCTCAGCGGCCGCCGCCAACACGTACGCCAAGTTTGCGGAACTCAATGCGGTGCGGGAAGCGCCGCATCCCTATATCCAGCAAACTTCGTACGGTATTGGTCCACCAGGCGCTCAATATCGTGACAACCCCTACACGCGAATACCTCAGATGGCGCCCGATTTTCAACGAGCAGCAGCAGTTGCCGCAGTGGGTGGTAGCGCACAAGTGCCCGTCAGCGTTGTGCAAGTACCGGGAGGTGGTCTGCAGCCACCACCATCTAGTGTTGGCAGTGGTTCCCACCTTGAAGCTTTACATTTCGCACACCAACAGCCATCTTCAGGACAACAAGGAGTCAATGCAGCTCATGTGCTTAGCAGTGCAAACGTTGGAGGCGGTAATGCAGCAGCACCTCTCAATGCAAACAATGCAGCGGGCAATGTCAACTTAATACGCCAGCGAATAATACTGCCAGCGCATCACTATCCCAGTGAGTATCTGGCGAACGCTAATGCTGTAGCGGCAGCGAATGTGCGCAGCCAGCAGCAGCATCAACAGTTGCCACAGGCTCCACCTGATCCGGGGGGACAGCCTTACAAGAAAATGCGACTGACAGAAACTACGGCAAATACAGTCAGCAACTCAAATCACCTGCCACCTAAAGTTATGAACGCCGCGCAACCTCAGCCACGTCAGCCATCACCATCTGCTGCATCGCTGGCAGCCGCGCAACAACAACATCAGAAGATCATTGCTGGAGGTAATTTTCGTAACAATGCATCACAAATATTGCACCAGTCTGTTCCACATTCGCATTTGACAGTGGTTTCAAGCAGCCACGTGATTAATACCCAGCCACCTCCCTCAGCGATGCAACAGTTGAAAGTGGATACCCAACCAGCAATGTTGACATCAGCGGGCACACCACCTAGTAATCGCAGTATTACAGGTACAGTGATGGGTGGAAGCAGTGGTATTGGCGGGGTTAGTGTTGGTGCTGGTGTCGGCGTCTTAAACGCTCCGCCAAACGAATCTTTTTTGATAGCAAGTAGTGGCGCGGTTGCACCTCCCGTAAAATCTTCGTCCTCTTCTGAGGGATACCATCCGCAAGTCGAAGCCATCTCACCCACACTGCCAAACGATAACGTTGAGGAGCGTGGCAGCGCCGTAACGGAGGAGCTGTTAACGCAAATACAGAAGGTGGACGCAGATATACAGAGTGCAGAAAATACGATGGAGATGTTGCGGAAGAAGGAAAAGGGCCTCAATGACAAAGTCATACTGAGTAAACAACAGCGTGAGCAGGAAATACTTGCTGCTGAGAATGATGATGCAGTAAAAATGGAGCATACTTGGAGACTGCAGACATTGGCGCAAAAAATATACGAGGCGAACCGTAAAACGGCCGCCGCGCAACATTCCATACTCAACCATTGCGGTAACCGCATCACATTGCCGTTGTATAATCAGCCGTTGGATGTAGAGCTCCTGTCGACGTTAATTAAACGGCATCAAACGATAGTGCGCACGCCATTGCTGGATCACATATGCAAACTGAAACATGAGCGTTGGGAGCACAATAACGTTTTGGTGGAAACATATGCGCAGATGTCCAGTGAGTGGCAGAAGCGCGTTGAAAAGTCGGAAGGCAGTGCGAAGCGAAAAGCACGGGAGGCTAAGAATCGCGAGTTCTTTGAGAAAGTCTTTACGGAGCTGCGTAAGCAACGTGAGGATAAGGAGCGCTTTAATCGCGTTGGTTCACGTATCAAATCTGAGGCCGATTTGGAGGAAATCATGGACGGTCTGCAAGAGCAGGCAATGGAGGATAAGAAGATGCGTTCATATGCCGTCATACCACCACTGATGTTTGATGCTCGCCAACGACGTTGCGTCTACCACAATGAGAACGGCTTCATTGAGGATATGGTTGTGGTTCATAAGGAGCGACAGACACTGAATGTGTGGACTGCAGGAGAAAAAGAGATTTTTAAAGAAAAATTCTTACAACATCCGAAGAATTTTGGAGCCATAGCGGCCAGTTTGGATCGCAAGTCAGCACAGGACTGTGTACGCTATTACTACCTCAGCAAGAAAACGGAGAATTACAAGCAACTGCTCCGCAAGTCACGGCAACGAACCCGATCGTCACGAAACCCGCCAAAGGCACAACAGCAACAGACACAGTGTATTATTGATTCACTGACAACAGGCGTTACAACCCGCTTGCAACGTGAACAGCAACAGAAGACAGGTGGACGTTCGGCTGCAGCGGAACGAGAACGCGCTGAACGAGCAGAGCGTGCCGCGGAACGTGCAGCAGCAGATGCGGCGAAAGCTGCAGCAACTGCTCATGCTAAGTCTACTAACAAAGGAGACAATGGTAACAATGCTACAGCGGCAGCATTCGAATCGACCATCGCCGCAGACACGACTGAAGTAGCCAAAGGCAAAGCGAACGCTACATCCCCTGCAGCACAAAAATCCAACAACACGTCCAATAACAGCAACAGCATAACTGTAGCTAGCGGCATGGCAGCAGCGCCTTCAAAAGCTGCCGAAGTTGACAAAGCTTCTGAAAGCTCATCAGCTGGTCAGCAAGCAATAACAGCAACGATAGATGCCGCAAATAGTGGTACTGCGGCGAAAGCGAAAAGCGACGATACGAATGCTAGCGAAGCAAATTCAAAAAGTACAATTTCAACTTCGGCGCCAACTACCACAACCATCAACACAAGCATTAATGTCTCAAATGTGGATGAAAATAGCAGAAAGTCGGCAGCAGCTTTCGTAGCAGTGGCGGCAAATAGCGAAATGGATGTGGATAGTGAAAAGCTGATGGACGAAAAGAGTGTCGTTGTTCGCAGCATTGGTAGTGACACTAATGTTCCACCAACGGAAGCGAACACCTTTAGCGTCACAAATGTCGTGCCTGGCATAACACATCATCCGCCTGGTGTCGTTCCGAATGGCATAAAAACCATTTATGCTACCACAATGGCTCAGGCGGGGGCTGCAGCTAGCGCCAATGAAGATGTGAAAATGATTGCTGTGGCCGATAAGATCGGCGCAGCAGCAACAGCAGCAACAGAAGCAATGGACGCGGTTTTAAATACCTTAGATGCTGTCAGCGGTATTAAGGTGGGCGCCGGAAATAGTGTGGCCACGCCCACTACCTCAACAACCGCTGGCAATTTTCTTGGGCAAAAACTCAAAGCGGCGCAAGTGGAAGGCATTGGTGCCGGTAATGATGTCAACTCAGATGTTAGGTGAGTATCAACTAAAACTGGCAGCATTCTATTAATATTTTCAAAAAAGTTAGGAATTGGTCAATGAGTTTAGACTAGGGTGAAAAGAAAAGGCAAAGATCTATAGTACACGTGCAGTTGTATTGTCTGCAAAAAAATAAATTTAAAATCTGAAAAGGCTACAATATTAATTTAGCGATTAATCTTCTAAAGTCCAACCATGCGAGTCACTTTTATGTCAAGAAAAATTAAAAACTCATTTAAGGAACAATGTTCAGGGCTAAAATCGCTCAGTATTAGAATATTGTTTGGAAAATATTGTTGGAAACAACTAATGTTTGCCAGCTAAAATTTTCAGAACAGTTTATTTATGCATTTTGGATGTAAGGCATTTTAAGTAATTTGAGTAGAAGGTGTTGATGATAGAAATTTGCATTAAAGTTTAAGGCGTTTCAAGGAAGTATTCCATGGGAGATTAACGTATAGGTCATCAAGACAAATTTCAATCATAATTAATTTTATACATGTTCATATTATTTAACGAATATTTATTATCAAGTGTCACAGAAAACGGGATTTAGGCTGTATTTATGCAGATATGTGTAGTACGTGATTTTTAGAAAATTATTAATATTCTTCTCTTTCCATGACAGTGATCCAAAACGGAAGCGTCTCGATGTCACGACGAACATAGATGGTTCCCCCATAAATTCCTCCTCTTCCTCCTCCACAACTACAAAAAATAACAATAACAACGCTTCCTCCTCCTCCATGTTAACCAGTACTACTACGAATATACACGCACTTAGCGGTAACCCTGCAAACAACAATAACAATGTTGTGGATGTTTTAAGTGGAGCTGGCGTGGTGATATCCACACCCCTCGTCGATGTATCGCTCACAACAACATTGACTACGAATGTTGCGGCGACGCCGGCTTCCAATGGCAGTGGTGGTACCGTCAACGCCACAGCAGCATCAATAACATTTACAACGACTGAAGGCAACAATGCTATCGACGGCAAAGGTAAGTGGCACAGAAGCATTGAAATATTTAAATTACCACTTTGCTATTTTTAAAAGTGAAAAACGTGAGAGAAACAAGAAAAGTTGATATCGTGATTTGTGTTAATTAATACAATTAACAGTAAAATACGTTATAAATCGTTGGTATTAATACAAATGTAATGGAAAATACCTTTAATCGATTGAATTGACGGAAAACCGCAACAGCTATATTGTCAAAAGCGAATATTTAAGAAGCTTCATAAAGCAGCGCATGGTAAAAAGGTAAATTTGCCGAAAACACATTGCAGCAAAGGGACAAGCACCAAAGTGTTGCAAGGGTGGCCTGTGATGAAGCAGCACTTTGTATTGACACGTGAGTTTGTATGTATGTGTGCATGCCTGCGCTCATGTTTGTCAATCGCATGTGCTTATATACCCTACAGTTAAATCAACTAGTTATAAATTACTTTTAAACTGGTATACAAATAAATCACAAGCTCAACTAGTTAGTCGACTGTCTTGCTTCCATACAAGCAACTGGTATTTTATACGTGTTGATGTTCTAGAAAATGATTGTCAAACTTCGTTGGAAACCCGATCAGCCATACCATCACTGTCGAATTTTAGTGGAAGAGAGCTCATCAGAAATGCATTAAATAATTGACATATAGTCCGCTGATTTTTTTTCTTAAGTTAACAGAAATTTCAAGTCGTAAACTGGTATTTATACGGTACAAGTAAGTTTGTCTGCGCGTGAGTGGCTCGTGCTTTAGTGTGGCGAGCTTAAACAAAATTTTTAATTAAAAAGACACTTTTTGGCAGCAAGTCAACCGATCAGTCTCATCATCCACTACCACATTCGCATACGCACTTATATATATAATATATGTATTGTATATATGCGGCAGCTTTCTCTCTATCTGGACAGTAATGTACGTAGGCTAATGGTTTTGGTCCTTTGTTGGCCGGCTCGTGCACACATACACACAGTCAGCAGATTTGTTTGTTATTCTCTTTCTAAATTTTTTTTGTCGCTCAATAATGTGGTGGCCTTATTTTATTGAATTGCGCTTTGAGCGCCTCTGATTTACTTACTGCATATGTAAGTATAAATGTATACAGCTGTCATGAAAATAATAGGAGTGCTGTTGCATATCTACTTCGATTCGCTGTTTTATTTATTTATTTATTTTTTTGTTCTTTTTGTACCCTGAACAGGGTATATTAAGTTTGTCACGAAGTTTGTAACACCCAGAAGGAAACGTCGGAGACCCTATAAAATATATAAATAATTAATTAGCGTGATGAGCTGAGTTGATTTAGCCATGCCCGTCTCTCTGTATATATACAAACTAGTCCCTCAGTTTTCAAAGTGCCGTTTCACACAGGGATTCAAAAGAGTCTCATACCAGTTTATTGTGGGCTAGGGGACGACGAGGAAAGACGAAGGGACCGTGCCACTCGTGTTCGGGTGGCACGCTTTGTGTTCTTGTTCGTAACAGCTCGCTGCTACCCTTTTCAGCATTCCTTTTCACTTTCAAATTCTTTGAATGGTTGCAAGAGCGCTCGGTTTCAAATGAATTCGATCGCAAATTTGAGTTCTGTTATCTATTTTTGTATGTAATATGCAAATACGTATGCATAGAATAATAGAAATATTATGACAAATTGTAAATAAGGAGAAAATTAAGATATAGATTATGGAGTAAAGAAATTATGAATTTTTAATACGGAGTAAAGAAATTATGAGTTTTTAATACTTAAAGATTAGGAAATTCCTATTATAAATTTGGCCTTGAAAATATTAGTTGCGGATATTCAATACATTCTTGTGGATTAGGGAATTCCCGTCTTTAGTATTTCTTTGAAACTTACTTGGTACTTGTATTATGCATATTGTTCTACCATATTCATGGTAATTCATTGCAAGCAAAATGTGTGACCATCATCTCAACATACAAATGAAATACGCAGCACGCAGTGTTGCGCGGTGTTGCGCAGTCGAACCGCACAAATATTTACGAAAATTTTGTGAAAAGGAATGCAGAAAAACTAGACTCGAGTTGCTGGACTCTTTTTGACCGTGTGAATGCCCAGAGCGACACCAAAAGAAAATTTGAAAAAACTCAGACTCTTTTGAATCCCTGTCTGAAACGGCACAAACTATCTAAAATTTTGCACTTGTCTTTTTCTCACCAAGAAGCTGCTCATCTGTCGGAACGGCTGATATCGGACCACTATAGCATATAGCTGCCATACAAACTGAACAATCGGAATCAAGTTGTTGTATGGGAAACTTTTTTATTTGACGTAATATTTTCACGAAATTTGGCATAGATTATTATTTAAGACAATAATGCAATCTGAATTGTATAGATCGGATGACCATAGAATATAGCTGCCATACAAACTGAACGATCGGCATGGCATATAGCTGCCATATTAACTAAACGGTCGGAATAAAGTGCTTGTATGGAAAACTTTTTTTATTTGATTTTTAATGTATTCTCCGCAGAAATGAAGGGTATTATAGCTTCGGTGCAACTGAAGTTTACGTTTTTTCTTGTTTTAATCTAATTTGTTTCAATATGAGTGCAAATCATGAAGTCGCCTCTGACTTTTTTTTCTCGATAATTCCTTTTTTTCTTTTTGGCTTTGCAAAATAATAAGAGCGCTAATTTGAAATCAACGTAGAAAAGAAAATTGGTCGTTCATTGTCACTTAAGTGATGCGATGCAACTTTATTTTTTATTAATTTGTGGACGAATTAGGCTTATATATAGTTGAATTTTAGTGAAATGGGTCATGGAAAGCAATCCACTTCGAAACAGCATGAATTAATACAGAAATTAATTTAAAGTGAAAAAACGTACAAGATATTGCAAAATATTATCGGAAACTTAGTTTCGAAGGTACGAAATGTTGTTAAATAGCATCAAAAGCCGAAATATGGGGACGAAACGAGCGATATCAAATTAACTTGCAACTCATATAACTAGATAGACGTGGCAACATCCTTTCTCAATCTTAAAACAAATAAAGGATAAGCTGAGCTTGGTTCCAAGTATCCAAACTTTAGCCGACTATTAAGGATAATAATTTAATGGAACACAGCTCGAGAAAATTACTTTTCATGCAAATACAAGTTTAACAGCACGGATTCAGAGAGAGGTCGCCAGAAATATTGCGCAGCATCTTGTTGTCAGATGAATCGAAGAATATCCTGTTTGTTAAAAAAAGTTCTCGTCAATACATGAAAATACTGCCTCAAACCGAATTTAATCTAAAACATTGCATAAATATTGTTAAACATGGTCGGCGAAGAGCCACTGACTCAAGGATATCATAGATCGGCTCGGTTATGTCAAGATTAAATGCTATTGTTTGGGCCTTCCGGCAAGATAGTTATCCAAATCATACAAGCAAAATGGCAAAGAAGTGGTCCGCGAATAACATCATAAGAGTGCTTGAATGGACCGCGCAGTTTCTCGATTTAAAATTTGTGGGCAGACATAAAAAGAAAGTCGCTAAAGAGGGTCCCATAAATAATAAGGAGCTTTGAAAGACAATAAAAGGCGTAGTGTTGCATTATTTATTCTTATTCATATCTCTTTGCCTAAAACTATAATATTTCAAATAATCGTTTTAAAAAATTTGTTGATTTTTAAGTTTTGGATATTTTTCTAGAGCACTCCTATTATTTTGAGAAAGCCATTTTTATGATGGTTTCAATATTATTATTTTAAGGAATATATATAACATGAATGTAGCTTTTTTTTTGCCAATTTTTTTCATTACTAATTATGTAAGATAAAAAAATAGCTTCGAAACAATTAAGTCACATTTACGATTTTTTTTCTATATTATCCATAAAGCCAACTTGCACTCCTATTATTTTGATAACAGCTGTACATACCTACGTGTACGAGGTGTGTTCAAAGGAAAAGGTGAATTTTGAATTTTTTTGAAAACTACTTATTTAAAATAATCATCAATATCTATTTTGTCCCCTTCGAAGTAATCCCCCTTTGATATAATACACTTATGTCAACGCTTTTTCCAATCCTCGAAGCACTTCTGAAATGCGCTTTTCGGTATGGCCATCAGCTATTTCTTCGATTCTGACTTGATCTCATGAATTGTGGCAAAACGCTTTTCTTTCATTGGTTTCTTCAGTTTGGGAAAAGAAAAAAGTTACAGCGAGCCAAGTTTGGTGAATACCGTGGTTGAGTCATTATTATGGTTTTGTTTTTGGTCAAAAAATGATACTAATGCAACATTGCTTTTGCTCAAAATTTAGCAAATTCGGAACAAACTTCGCTGCCACACGTTTCATGCCCTAAACATTCGGGAAAATTGAATGGCATGAAGCGATTGATATGACAACATCCTCTACAACTTCCCTCATAGTGATTTGTAGATTTTGAAGAACAATTTTATTCACTGTTTCGATGTTTTCTTCGCTTGTTGCTGTGGTTGCACCTCCAGGACCTTCCTAAAAAAAGTTAAAAAACAAACTATACATTAAATCACACTAACTTAAATCTAGTCCAAAAGTAATAAATCTTATAGCCCTTGATTTCAAATTGTGCATTCAAAACCCTGTAAGCAAAAGACTACATATAAAACAAGTAAGGAAGGGCTACCCCGAAGGAAACGGCGGAGACTCCATAAATTATATACGATATATGACGAGTTGAGTCGATTTAACTATGTATATCCGCCTCTTTGTTTATATGCGAACTGTTCCCTCAGTTTTTCAGATATCGATCGGAAATTTTGCACACGTCTTTTTCTCCCAAGGAGCTCCTCATCCTCATTTGTCGGAACCGCCGATATCTGGCGACGAACGATCAAATACATGTCTTTGTATGGAAAACTTTTTTATTTGACAAGAGATATCTTATCGAAATTTTGCATGAATTATTATCCAAGACAAAAGTACAATCTCCGAAAAAAATATTAAAATCGGACTGCTATTACATATAGCTGCCATACACTCACTCTGAACGGTCTAAA